CAATACACCACCATAGATTACGCCATTACAGCCATTATACAAGCAGGGGTGGGAGCCTGGCTCAGTAAGACCGACATTACTAACGCCTTCAAATTACTCCCTATCCACCCCACACTGTGGCACCTGCATGGCATCAAGTGGTCCGAGAACTACTATTTTTCTCCCGGTTAACTTTTGGGTCCAAAAGTAGCCCAGCTATTTTCGACACATTTGCCGAAGCACTATGCTGGTTACTATTGAACATAGCCGGATGCCCTACAGTATTACATTACTTGGACGATTTCCTACTGGTCGAGGAGAATACTGCACCTCCCACTAGCCTCAAAGCTACCACTAAGCTGTTTGAGCAACTAGGTGTACCCATCTCCCCAAAGAAAACAGAAGGGCCAGACACGGTTATCACTTTTCTGGGTATCCAGTTAGACTCTGCCACAATGCAAGCAAGCCTACCTTACGAAAAGATAGACAATATTCTCACTTACATAAACAACTACCTACAGCTCGGCACTTGCAACCGCAAAGAACTACAGTCCCTGCTGGGGTCACTAAATTTTGCAATGCGCATCATACCTCAAGGCCGCTCCTTTATTTCACGACTATTGCATCTTTTCCCACTTTTTCTACATGACACGCACAGGTTGTCCTTAGATGCCCAAGCTACGGCAGATCTAAACATGTGGAAGAGGTTTTTAACCACTTGGAATGGTAAAAGTATGTTCCTCCCTCAATTGACTGAATCATCTCCTACCATTTGGTCAGATGCGGCATCTACCACTGGTTTTGCAGCAATTTTTGGGAACGAATGGCTTTGGGGCAGCTGGCCTTCAGCAGTTCTGGATTTGGAAGGTTTTTACACTACCTCAGCTCTTTTTGAGATCTACCCCATAGTGGCGGCTGCCGTAGTGTGGGGTCATTTATGGGCTAATACGCCAGTGCGTTGTTACTCAGACAACCAGGCGACCTGTCACATCATCAACAAAGGTCGTTCCAAATCTCTTACGATTATGAGATTTCTGAGGAAACTCACTTGGTTGGCAGCTTGTCATAATTTCTTCCTATGTTGTTTCCATGTGCCAGGTGTATACAACACAGCTGCTGACAGTTTGTCTCGCTTTAAATTTCAGGAGTTTCATCAAGCACTCCCGTCAGCAGCACCCACAGCCACCATCACTCCAACATTTCAACAACTCATACTGGACTAGACGTCATCATGCAGCATAGCAGGACATTGTCTCAGTTGGCACTTTCACACAATACAAACAAAACATATAACAGGGCTTTCACACTATTCAAACGATTCCTTCTGGAACATAACATCATACAACCGTTTGTTATGACATCTTTTTTGGGGTTTGCTTCCTTTTGCCACCTTAAACTCAAATTGTCATATAACACCATCAAACTCTATCTCACTGGCATTCAACACCACATGCTCATCTTACACCCAAATAACAACAGTTTCATGGCCTCTCAGCAAATTAAGACCATACTCAGAGGTATTCAAAAATCAGAACCCACACATTTGGCCCAGAGGCTACCCATAGATAACCATATCTTCAAAGCTTTATCTAACCTACTCGACCTGAAACCGTTTGACACTAATACGAATTCTATCATCAAAACAGCAATATACATCGCTTTCTATGGATTTCTACGACCCAGAGAATTCACTACGACCTCCACGACCCAAACCACTCCATTCCTCCTCTATTCCCACTTGACAAAACATATGGATCATTACATCCTGTCTTTACCTCACTCCAAAACCAGCCAGCACATACCTGTAAACATTCCGTACTACCCCACGCACAACAGATGGTGTCCCGTAAAAGTTCTTGATGCCTACATACAGCACCATCACTTACTGCCCTCGCAACCGTTATTACAACTACAAGGTGCAGTACTCAACACTACAACCTTCATGACCTACGTCAGGTCCTTGCTCACACAACTGGGCCTCAACGCAAACAATTACTCAGGACACTCCTTTCGTATAGGAGCCGCGTCCACAGCCTCCAGTTTCAACGTCCCAACTCATGTTATCAAAACACTGGGGCGCTGGAAGTCATCCGCTTACTCACGGTACATACCGAACCCAGTACAAGAGTTAAGAGATGCTTTCATAAACATGTCTGGTTGATAAATGTATATGTATTGGTTGTCTGTTAATAAATTGGATTACTTAATTTTTGCCCTCTTCTTTCTCAGGCCTACCTCATCGTCGGTTTCGGCACACCACAACCGACTTGCTCCTTTTATCATCCTACGCTTATTCATGGTATTTCACACTGTACTATCTTAAGCACCTAACACAAGTATTAAGGCAATTTGCCTGCATTTGTGGGAGGTGCTGGTTTTCTAACCCTAGCCTACTTAAGGCACTCCCCTTGCCTGGCTCCTTACCGTTCGAGGTCAGCGTTGAATGACCCTCCCACCACACCACTTTTAACATTTATTTTCCTTTCTATTTCTTTTCCTGGGTGGGCCCTCTTCTTTCTCAGGCCTACCTCATCGTCGGTTTCGGCACACCACAACCGACTTGCTCCTTTTATCATCCTACGCTTATTCATGGTATTTCACACTGTACTATCTTAAGCACCTAACACAAATATATATATATATATATATATATATATATACATATATATAATGTAGAGGTGGTGATTACTTTTTGAAATACATTTGGAAAACCAAGAGAGTGCTACTACTTTTACTTTGTATGTGTATATATATAGGCCTTCACATCTTATGGTTAGGCCTTCACATCTAGCAATGGCTCACTGCTGCAAGTTCAACATCACATCCACCAAGGAAGAAAAGGAAGCAACAAACTGATTTCCTGCCTGGCAATATCTTATCTACCCTTAGTTGAGATGATGTGTTTTACATCACATCCTGGTTTTCAATGTATCCATGCATCACTTCCTTTAAGTAGTTGTAGGAAAGAAGAAAAGATTCTTAGTGCTCCCACCTAGGCCTGTTTCTTTTTACCCTGAAAGGAAGACATGTTACCACACTGGACACTCTTACATTTTCCCAGCACACATTCCAAATGCCATTTAGGGAACATTCCACACACACAAAGCACTTTAGCTGTTATTCTGTTTGCTGTTTGTATGGAGTTTATTCAGTCCAGTGTGTGTGTTGGCCAGGTGTATAAGCACTGTGTGAAGTGTAGTCTTTCTTAAAGACTTTACTTTACTAATCCACCAAGCAGCAACTAATTTCTCATCACCAACATCATTAATAAAATGATGTGCGTCTTGTATCCCCCTTCCACAATCTAGTGATAATTTTGTTTTACCTCTGGCCCGGGAGCTACATGACTATGAATATGATAATCCAGAGTTATTACAAAAGAGAACCTGGAGACATCAGCCTGCACCTTCTCCATCTTATCAAAGTCCATCTTTATCTGCTTTTGAATTGCCTAATAAAATAGCTGAACAACTGTCATTGTTACCATCACCACCCCACTAATACTACCACTATAACATCAGCAGTACAAGCACCATCAACAATAATCATCAACCAAGTGCTAATATACAGCTTCCACTGAATGCCACTTATCCACCTATGTCTTCTGCAGCTGCAAGGTAAAAGGTTTAGGCAAATGTTTTGTGCCAAACCAAAGTTTGGGATCAATTTGAAGGGCCTTCAAGAAGCTGATTTGCATACTGTGCAAAAAAGATGTGAGTAGGGGAAGAGCGAAGGCTCACATGACAAGTGCGGGATGAAGAAACATATACTGTATAAAGACACCACACGTCTGTATTAGTTAGGGAAGAAGCAGAATGAGTACTAGGGCAGGCAGCAACTCCACTGGTGCTCTATCTGATTCTGCACAACTAACTTTTGGTTGTACTTTTTCCATTACTACTACCATAAGGAGAGCAGAGGAGCGGTAAAAAAAAGTGTCAGTAGTAGTTGGACAGGAACAAAAGGATCAATCATGATCTGGTAGATTTAAGGGAAAAAAATTCCTGGAATGAATTCTATTTTTCATTGTGGAAAAAACAGTGTCCTATCATCAGCTTCTAGCAACTGCGTCTGTGGAGGTGGCAGGCACTGCAAGACTCAGCCAGGCAGGACAAAAACAAACAAACAAAAAAACACTATAATAAAAGGCAATTGAAAAAAGGGTGAGCACCAGCAAGAGCAATTTAATTTGAGAAAAAAATGGTGGGAAAAAAGTAAAAAGGCAATTGAACAACCATCAACCCATTACATAATTTTATTTATTTTATTTTTTTTGTAAACATTTTTCTATTTAATTGACTCCTGCTGCCACTAGACACTGTTGCTTTGAGAAACTAAAGAATGCATGTGTGAGAAAGCTCTGGTCTTCTCAAAGCTGAATGTGAGTTGGTAGTCAATTGCCCACTGATGTTTTTTAATGTAAAATGACTCTTTCTGTGGTTGCTCCCCATTATTTATTAATACAAGATTGCAAAAGGAAAACCAATCATGGGGCTACGCACTAAACTTCACCAATTTAACAATGTCAGGATTTTGCCATTCAGATCCAAATGGGCCTAAATCTGGTCCAGTTTACAGTTAACCAAGCTCTGTTGGAAGGCTGAAAACCAGAGTGAATGCTTAAAATCCAGACATGGACCTAAACAAATCTGAATTTGCCATGTGACAGCATGAATTTGTATGTTTTATATGTAATACTGTTTTGCCCTGTCTTTAAACTAAAATAAGTTCATTGAGTGACTAAAATGAATTCTTACAGGTAGAACCAAAAATGGGTACTACTAACATTCCACACAAGGAAGGTAAGATATATTTTCTGACACACATCTACAGGTGATACTCGAAAAATTAGAATATCGTGCAAAAGTTCATTTATTCCAACACTGTACTAACCAGAAGTCCTTACCCAAAGAAATGTTGTTGGCCCACATCTCAACACTGCCCAAACCCGTGAAGGCTACAACCAACTGTACAAATTTCAGACTAATCTCCTTGCTCAATTGCGATGCAAAAATCTATGCCAGAGGGGGCGGGGCCGGGCCGCCGAGCCGAGCGGCTGCTGTCCATGCCGGCTCCGGTTATAAACCGCATAAACCGCATAAAATGCCGGGGAAAAAACCCCAAAACATACCCACGATATGAGCACCGCAACCGGAGGCAAGATCAGGGGGAGAGGAACCGAGGAGAAAGGAGCGGAGACACATGCCGAGTAAACACGACGAACCCAGAGATCTGAGACATGCTGCATGAATGCGGTTCACAGCGCACACGGACGGCACAGGAGACATGGATCGGCCCCGCTCCCCCCCCACCCGGCCGGGGGGGTGATCCCGGCCCAAAAGTCAGAACTTTCAAAGCTGGAGGTGGAAGCGTGCTCGGAGCGAGATGCCTTCTTGTACAGAGCTAAAATGGCTGACTGGCACAACACATACACGCAGCAGAGATCCGCGCTGGAGCGCCGCGGCCCCTGGGGTGGCTGAGCCCACAGCTGGGCCCTTCCGGGCTGTGGACTGGTCGACAAGGAGCCGGCCCTGATTCCTGGATTTGGTGGTGGTCCGGGGAAATATGCCCCCAATTCCGCGAGCCCGGTGGAGCTGAGATGCGCGTGCCTGCCGGCGGACCGGTGGCCGGGGGGCGCGTGCCGGCGTCATGTAAGTGGCCGGAGATGGGAGAGGCAAGACAGGGCTAGAGCTCCAGGGAGGCCCTACTGAGGCTGGGGAGGTGCAGGAGACTGAGACCACGCGGACTCTACGGGGGGGAGACCGCCGAATGGCTCCGATCTCTGAGTGCCCACGGCGAGGTGGAACTCCCTAAAAGACACCGAAGCATGCCTTGATGGGGTGCAGGGGGGGCTCGGCCACAGCTGGGGGAACCGGGAAGACCCAGGTGGACACAGTTAACTCGCCATGTACATGCTTGCCCTGCAGCAACCATGATGAGGACACACCAGAGAGAAGCCTGCAGAAATACAACCATGGGAGATGACGAGTCCACAAAGGACCATATCGCCACACCGAGCGCCATTACGCCCCCTCCAGAGAAGTGACTCAAGCTCTAAATCTTATATGGGTTTTGCGGGAGTTAGACATACTACTGTTTCTCTCTGCAATGAGCCATGAACATCATACAGAATTTGCTTACTGTTATACCCTAACTCATTTATTACCTAATATATTGTAATAGGCGTGGACACGCTGTTTATGCTGCAGCACATATACGTTAGTTTGCTATGGTACACAGGTTTAGGCCTACCTCGACGCAGTTGAATTGCACCCATCAGTGGATAACTAAACTGAAGCACCCAAGATATGGCGGTATACCTTCGTAACCATATTAGCTTATCAAGGAACAGCGGCATATCGTATCTACATACACGATTAATCCAGCTGCACACTTTATTTTCTGACCAGATAGGCATAACTTAAATAAGTGGTAATATGCAAAGATTGCAGCTGACCAACAGGTTCAGGTCTAGTTAGACACGGTCAAACTGCACCCACCTAAGATTTATTAAACCGATCCACGCTGTCTGATCATCACATCACACTAGCGGTATCTGCCTCATACAGCTACGTGTGATCATGCTCAGCCACCGCTGGAGCGAAATAGGTCCATACGACCCACAAACCGCTGTTATAAAGGACATGACCAAGAAGCTTAACATTTAAGCGTAGACAGCATGGTGCGCAGTATTAGCTCAGTGCCTGCAATTTATGCTGTAATGATTCGAAGTGTATTCCTGAAAAGTTCAAATACGCCTGTGGGTTCTGATCAATATGCCTCTGCGCAGGCGATAATCTGCATTTATTCCTATGTGCTAACATTTAAGCCCCTACGCAGGCGACCTTTCACCTTAACGAATGCTATAAATTACTGTTTAAGCCCCTGCGTGGGCAACCTTTTGCTTTACTATGAACCAGTTCGCATTATGCACTTATATTGTGAAAACAATAAAAATATTCAAAACAAAAATCTATGCCAAACTTCTCAGCAACCGCCTCTTCTACCGAAACTCATACATACTGACCAAACGATATTTGTGAAGGGCAGGCAGGGCTCTGACAGCTCCAGAAAGGTCCTGGACATTTTGGCGGTGATGGAGAGGGAGGGCACCGGAGGCCTTTTCCTAGCACTAGATGCGGAAAAGGCCTTCGATAGACTACACTGGCAATATATGCAAGCAGTTCTTGACAAATTTCAAATTTCCCTGAACAACTCAGTAACCAAATAATGGCCTTGTACACAACCCCAGCTGCTAGGGTATCTTATAGCGGCTTTTTGTCTAAGCCACTTCAGATTACGAATGGAACCCGGCAGGGGTGCTCTCTCTCCCCGTTATTATATATCTTGTCACTTGAACCCTTAGCTCACAAAATAAGGGAACATGAACACATGCCGACTCACTCTCTTTGCAGACGATATTTTTATAGCATTGTCTGACCCCGTATCAGCCCTACCCCATCTACTATCATTACTGCAGGAATTTGGGGCTATATCACACTACAAACTGAACCAGGATAAAACCTAAGTGCTTCCAGTCGGGCCCCACAATGAATAATATCTAGCATTCGTTCTACCCCTTCGACTGGAGATCATTCTCACTTACATATTTGGGAATCAAAATTACCCCCAACCTTACAGGCATAGCGAAACACAATCACTACCATTTAATCCAAATGTGTAAAAATGATGCTCACAAATGGAAGGCTGCAAATCTCTCCTGGTTGGGTAAGATCGATGCCCTAAAAATGATTACCCTCCCACGCCTGTTGTATGTGTTCCGCATGTTAGCAGTTATGATCCCAAACTCATGGTGTAAAACCCTACAATCGATCTGTAGTTCCTTCATATGGGTAGGTAAGAGACCAAGACTACCACTTACCCTCCTACAGAAATCTCCAGCCGGAGGTGGGGTTGGCCTACCAAACATCCGATCATATCTTCAAGCTTCACTGCTGTTTGCAGGCGTAGCCCTACACACACCAAAAGGCCAGACACAGTGGGTAGACCTAGAAGGAGCCTTTTTTAAGCACCAAACAATAACCGTATATATGTGGACACCTAAGTCCCTCCGCACACCAGAACGAGATTTACTCCCCAGTACACAACTAACCTTACGCGTATGGGACAAATTCTTACACAAGCTTGGCTATAGAGATAAGATACACCCTAAGGCACCAAAAGAGGTGATCAAACACATATCCCCGATAGGGTCATTAGACAATTGGAAAGCATTGGGCATTACACACATACACCACCTACTAGAAGGACAAACAATAAAATCTATCCAGCGTCTTCAGAGGATATGGGGTCTCATTGATAGAGACACCTTTCTTTACCTACAAGTGCGCAGCACCCTGCTATCACATATCCACACTAATAACACTAAAACATCCGACCACCCGCTCCTCAACCTGCAATTAGTATTGCAGAGATGCATAGCAACACCAACTAAACCGAAGGCCTTGTCCCTCTGCTACAAAGCGGGACTAGAATTACAGCACGTAAAACCAGAATCTTGTAGATCTCATTGGAAAAGAGACAGTGGAGTTACACTAACAGAAACTAAATGGCTGAAAGCGCTTAACCATCTATCAAAATGGACTAGATGCTATACACATATAGAAGCACACAGGAAACGTCTCTATCATTGGTATATGACACCCCACAAATTGAATAAGATATACCCAGCGTCATCCCTGTTATGTTGGAGGTGTATGAAAGAAGAGGGAAATATGCTCCATGTATGATGGACGTGCGATGAGATTCGTCCACTATGGACAGAAGTCCAATCACTGCTGGAGCTAATGGGAATATATAGATTCCCAATGACTTTCTCTACTTGTCTTTTACTGCTATTTGACGTAGAAACCCACTACCCATATCACCAATTAATAGCTCTTACAATACTAGCAGCCCGCAACTTGATAGCTTCACACAGGAAAACTTCAATGTGCCCATCTCTTACCCAACTTAAAGACAAGCTCCAGCAATTTTATGTGTACGAACGCATGTCATTAGTCTCACCAACTAAAACTAAGAAATGTATGATTACATGGGCTCCATGGCAATTATTACTAAGTGCTAATAATAGCGGCAAAATTACTTCTGGCTGTTTGCCAAAAGAGATCCTCCCTAAGTAGCCCTACTTATCGGCCCTATTGAACCTCTTAACCATCCAACCTTTAAACCACCTAACCAAGTGACACACACACCAACTAAATGTCAATAGTGTTGACCTGTTACCTGTTTTGATCTTGCTGTTTTACTTTATTATTGTTATATCCAATTGTATGATTCCAAATAACAATCTTGGATGTACGTGTCATTGTAATGATTGTTCCCATGTTCCTTATACCATGTATAACTATGAAACACAATGTATCTATATTCAAAACTTGACTCTGCAATGGATATGAATGTAGAACCTTCAATAAAATATACATTTTTAAAAAAAGTTCATTTATTTCAGTAATGCAACGTAAAAGGGGAAATTAATATATGAGAGACGCAATACATGCAAAGCAAGATAGTTCAAGCTGTAATTTTTCATAAGTGCAATGATTATGGCTTACAGCTCATGAAAACCCCAAATCCACAATCTCAGTAAATTAGAATATTGTGAAAATTTGCAATATTCTAGACTTACAGTGTCCCATTCTAATCAGCTAAGTAAGCCTTAACATCTGCAATGCGTTTCTGAGCCTTTAAAAGGTCTCTCAGTCTAGTTCAGTAGGAATCACAATCATGGGGAAGACTGCTGACCTGACAGTTGTGCAGAAAACCATCATTGACACCCTCCATAAGGAGGGAAAGCCTCAAAAGGTAATGTTCCCAAAGTGCTGTATCAAAGCACATTAATAGAAAGTTATGTGGAAGGGAAAAGTTTTGAAAAAAAAGTTGCACAAGCAGCAGTGATGACCGCAGCCTGGAAAGGATTGTCAGGAAAAGGCCCTTCAAAAGTGTTGGGGACTTTCACAAGGAGTGGACTGAGGCTGGAGTCAGTGCATCAAGAGCCACCACACACAGACAGATCCTGGACATGGGCTTCAGATGTTGTATTCCTCTTGTCAAGCCACTCCTGAACAACAAACAACGTCAGAAGCGTCTTACCTGGGCTAAAGAAAAACAGACCTGGTCTGTTGCTAAGTGGTCCGAAGTCCTCTTTTCTGATGAGAGCAACTTTTGCACCTCATTTGGAAACCAAGGACCCAGAGTCTGGAGTAATAACGGAGAGGCACACACTGCAAGATGCTTGAAGTCCAATGTAAAGTTTCCACAGTCTGTGTTGATTTGGGAAGCCATTTCATAGAAACATAGGAACATAGAAACATAGAATGTGACAGCAGATAAGAACCATTCGGCCCATCTAGTCTGCCCAATTTTTAAAAATACTTTTATTAGTCCCTGACCTTATCTTATAGTTAGGATAGCCTTATGCATATCCCATGTCATCTGCTGGTGTTGGTCCACTGTGCTTCATTAAGTCCAGGGTCAACCAGGAGATTTTGAAGCACTTCATGCTTCCTTCCGCAGATGAGCTTTATGGGGATACTGACTTCATTTTCCAGCAGGACCTGCCCACACTGCCAAAAGCACCAAAGCCTGGTTCAATGACAGTAGGATTACTGTGCTTGATTGGCTAGCAAACTCACCTGACCTGAACCCCATAGAGAATCTATGGGTCATTACCAAGAAAACGATGGATGAGAGACATGAGACCGAACAATGCAGAAGAGCTAAAGGCCGCTATTGAAGCATCCTGGTCTTCCATAACACCTCAGCAGTACCACAGGCTGATAGCTTCCATGCCACGCCGCAGTGAGGCAGTAATTGCTGTAAAAGGGGCCCAAACCAAGTACTGAGTCCATATGCATGCTTATACTTTTCAGAGGTCCGATATTGTTCTATGTACACTCCTTGTTTTATTGATTGCATGTAATATTCTAATTTACTGAGATTGTGGATTTGGGGTTTTCATGAGCTGTAAACCATAATCATCGACTTATGAAAAATCACGGCTTGAACTATCTTGCTTTGCATGTAATGCGTCTATCTCATATATTAGTTTCCCCTTTTGCGTTACATTACTGAAATAAATGAACTTTTGCAAGATATTATAATTTTTCGAGTATCACCTGTATGTGTAAGGGGTAACTTGCTGGAAATTTTTTTTTTATATATCATTGAGGGGATAAGGAACACTAAGGTGGCCTATCCCAGTAGATAGGAAGCAGTTCTTGTGCATTCCTTCTGAGTAAATCAATGCACAGAAATGTTCATTTGACACATCAAATCCCTCAAATTTCAAGGAACTAGTTATGAAAGGCTTACAATGAGATTAAAGATACCAGACACTCTAGACAAAATAAATGTAGCACCCCCAATACATGGAGGTATGGGAAGAGAAATGGTACTGTGAAACACATGGTGGGACTGCCCTCAAATACAACATTCTAACATCAAGTACATGATGTGATTGCATGACTCTTCAATAGATTCCCTTCTTTTCATCTAAAAGGTATACTGCACCACTGCATCATACCCCCTACTTCATATACGTAATTCTTGATTCCTACCCTCTGGAGACAGACACAGTCTCTGATGGTTACAATGGTTTGCCAAGATTGAACTAATTAGGACACAAGAACAAGTGTGGGCTTTCATAGGTATTATTAAGGGAATGTACACCACCACATGGAATCCTTGACTCAAATACACCTCTAAAATGACCACAAAGGTCAGTTTTACTACAAGGACAGAAAATATTTGCTTAAAGGACCACTATAGTGCCAGGAAAACATACTCGTTTTCCTGGCACTATAGTGCCCTGGGGGTGCCCCCACCCTCAGGGTCCCCCTCCCGCCTGTCTCTGGAAAGGGGAAAAGGGGTAAAACTTACCTTTTTCCAGCGCTGGGTGGGGAGCTCTCTGCCTCCGATCCTCCTCCGTTCCTCCCCGCCGGCTGAATGCGCCC